CAGAATGGTTTGATCCCTATCCAGCTGAATTCCTGAGAGGAGACGAAATCCAGGTCTCCTACTCCTCCGCCATCTTGCTCCGCCCCCTGTCGATGTTTAGTATTCTTGATGGGAATACTGACCTATGAAAATAAACGTGTTAGAGTAGGCTTCTAAATTGCTGTAATAAAACTAATGTAGATGGGATTGTGAGTCAAGAGTGGAGGCCCAGAGTGGTTGGGTTGAGATACTAAATTAGACATAATTTCAAACTTCTGGTCTTGACTGGGGCAGATTATTTCATGTCAAACTCTCAATAAACATAATGGCATTCCCCTATACCTTCCCCACATCCAGGCTACTTCTCAATCTCTGCTGTTTATTTTATTTTTCCCACAATCATACTTCCCTACCATAGTCTTCAAGTCCCTTGAACACTGGGGAAACTGCTTTTATGTATATCTTATCCCTCACATTGTCTAGTGTAGTGTTTGCTCAGAATAAGCTGTTCAATAAACATCTCCTAAATCAATGAATACCTTAATGGTCTGTAGGACGAAATGGGATTTAATTCAACGCTTGAGTCCCTTGCCAGATATAGCACAGAGAGTTACAATATCTGAGGAATCTATTTTGGTAAGATAAATATTAGTCATTGTTTTCCAAATAGCTGATTCTATGCCTACACGTTCATTTTAAATCCATAAAGCGTACTGATTATTCATGACACAGAAATGAAAATATGATTTTTAGCCATTAGGATTTCAAATTAGTACAGGGTAAAAGGAAAGGTTGGTGCACCATCTCTGAAAGTAAAAATTAATGTAAAAAAGATATCTACAATTTGAGTGCAGGCAAAAACAGGGGAAATCTGAGCAACAACTGGAATCTAGTTAATTGTGCTTTGCCAATCAATTTCCTGAGCTGGTAATGCACGTGAGTTATGCATGTCACCATTGGGGGAAGCTGGGTGATGGGCACAAGGGACTTCCCTGCAAAATTTTTGCAACTTCTTGTGAGTCTATAATCATTAAAAAAAAGTTTTAAAAAGTAGTGTAAAGCTATTTTAGTGACTTTGTGATGGAAGAAGATGCAAGAAAATATGTGTACCCTTTTAATTTGCGACATTCATGTCATGGTTAACAAAGGACATTTAGGAAGTTTTTGCCTTGGGAACCAATATTAAAGCCCCATATATTTCTGGCTGATTTAGCCTAATCTAGCCCTTCTGTCAAATATAAGTAAAGTGGCAGAAATTATAAGAACATATATTTGGTAATAACTACATTTTTGTTTCTGGCTGCTGAGTATGGTGTCTATGTAAGAATTATTCATATGCTCAGATTTTATGCAAACCATGTTAATTTTATAGCCTTCAAACACTTAATATTTGGTCATATTGTATTTCTTTTATTGTACTGATGGCAGAATTTACTGCTTTACATTTTAAATATGCCCTCACTGATTAAGCCCTACAGATTTCTCCCATGTCAATACTAATGTTATAATTTTATGTTTGCCATACTGCTCACTGAAATTATATTATACAAAAAGGCTAAATTGATCAAATAAAATCCATCTCCCCCCCCCCCACACACACAGAGATACACACAAACACAAATATTCCATGAACTTAGATGCATCCAGTTAGGGAAAGCAATTTCTATTTAGGTCTAGAATTCTCAAATAAGCTACTCCTTTATATTATATAATTTATTTTCCATGGATTTACTTTTGCCATATTCTCTTAAAAACTTTAGTGACATTCTCAGGACTATATTAAATAGGATGTCCTTCTATAACTAGATTTTTAAGTTGGAAAAGACTTCATAAATAAAAAAACCTAACCGGTTCATTTTGTAGAATAAGAACTGGAGGGTCAGCCATGCCACGTGGTTTTAGTGCCAGAGTCTAGATTAGAAAACAGTCTTCTGATTCTCAGAACACTGTTCATTTCACAGTCTGATGTTGCCTTGTGAGAGAGAATGTGGAAAATTTAAAACCTTGGGGATTAAAAGTTCCATTTCAGATAATTTCTTCACATTACTTCCAGATATAGAAGTGGCCCAGTGCTGACACAGAAGATATTTATTAACACTAAATATACACGAGTCCCTCTTCCCCCCTTACTCGGATTAATCAGATTACAGGGGAAAAATGGAAGGAAACAAAAAGACACACACACACACACACACACATACACACACACAGAAAGAGACAGAAAAAAATTGATCTCACATTCACTTTATAGGCCACCTAGCAGGGTCAATGCAAAAAATATAGGGTTTGGTCTCTGATTTTATGAACTTGGGTATGTTATTTTCCCAATTAAAAGTAAGGATTTTGGAAATAAGTTCATGATTAATAACACTAATTCCAGATTGGATCAGATAAACCAGATTCTTAAAATCTATCTTATCCTGGGAGCTAAATGTGATAGAATAATCAATTCTGGTTATTTGAAGAGCCCCAAATGTGCTATAGAGTAAGCCTAAAGTTTGAGAGCTTTTAAAAAACTGTATGGATGGAGCTAATATTATTTGACAAATTATTGTCTTCAACTATATTTCAATCTAAATAAGGAATACACATCATTGGGGCTAAAATAGCATCTCTGAACAGTTTTGAGAAGATACCGAGAAGTTATGTGTACACAATCCTCTTTTTCTATCCTCCTTATCAGATGTAATTATCATCAATTGTAAAAATGTCCTGGTTCTGTACAATTTCCTTTTCGTAGTTTTATATAAGCTACATTTTATATTGACATGATCTGTTCAAGGAGGCACCCTTAGCTCTTGCCAAAATTTAGGAAGCATGTTAGTCTTATCTACAACATATTTTCAAAACATCTATTACTTAATTTTGGCTTGATAGCATTTACATCAATAGTTAATCTATTTTTTTATGGTGATTTTTTGGACTGATTTTTGTTTTAGGGTAATTGTATCTATTCTTCTTTTATAGAAATTACATTTAACTTGAGTGCTTTGCACTTGCTAGCATTAGTCAGAAAAAGAACATTATTTTTAATGAACTAAATGCAAAAAGGGGAGCCTTGGTGGCTACTTTCTCTTCTAGACATGAAACCCCAGGCCAGAATTTCACAGAGATGATTTCCAAGTGAAAACTAAAGAGTCTGTCTATGGAGCACATAATAAATCTACCAAGTGAGACCACACACAGCCAATAATAGATTGATAAGTGTTACACTCTCCTCCTTAATCCCATCTATGGCAAATTCTTCATCTCTGCTACTTTTCATTCTGCAGTAAGAGCAGCTGAGATTTTCCCTATGCTCTCTCCTAGGAGTTTTATGGTTTCAGGTCTTACACTTAAGTCTTTAATCCATTTTGAGTTAATTTTTGTGAGTGGTATAAGATAGGGGGTTCAATTTCATTTTTATGCATGGGGTTATCCAGTTTTCCCAGCACCATTTATTAAAGAGATTATCCTTTTCTTATTACACATTCTTGGTTCCTTTGTCAAATGTATATGTGGGAGTTTATTTCTGGGCTCTCAGTTGTGTTCCATTGGTCTTTGTGTCTATTTTTATGCCAGGATCATACTGTTTTGATTACTAGAGCTTTGCACTAGAGTTTGAAATCGGCAAGTGTGATGCCTTTAGCTCGGTTCTTTCTCAGGATTGCTTTGGCGCTTTGGGGTCTTTTGTGGTCCCAGACAAATTTGAGGATTGTCTTTTCTATTTCTGCAAAAAATGTCATATACTAATGGCCTTCAATCTGTAGATATCTTTTGGGTAGTATGGTTTTAACAATATTCATTCTTCTGAACTATGAACATGATATATCCTTCCATTTGTTTGTGCGTCCCATTTCTTTCATCAGTCTTACAGTTTTCAGGGTGTAGATCTTTCACCTACTTACTTAAATACATTCCTGAGTCTTTTATTGTTTTTGATGTTAATGTGAATGAACCTTTTTTCTTTATTTCCTTTATAGATGTTTCATTTTTAGTCTTTAGAAGTACAACTAATTTCTGTATGTTGATTTTTATCTCCTGCAATTTTACTGAATTAGTTAGTTTTAACTGTTTTTTTGGTTGAATCTTTAGGATTTTGTTTATATAATATCACATCATCTGCAAATAAAGACTATTTTACTTCTTCCTTTTTTATTTGAATGATTTTTATTTCTTTATCTTGCCTGACCGTTCTAGCTAAGACTTCCAATACTATGTTGAGTAATAGTGGTAAGAGCGGGCACACTTTTCTTGTTCCTGATCTTAAAGGAAAAAGCTTTCACTTTGCCCCCCTGAAGTATGATATTAGCTATGGACTTCTCATTTATGATTTTTATTGTGTTGAGCTATGTTCCTTTTATACCAAATCTGTTGAGAGTTTTTATCATGAAAGAATGTTGTATTTTTGTTGAATGCTTTTTCTGCCTTTATTGAGATGGTCATATAATTTTTATCTTTTTCTGTTAATGTGATGCATCACACTTATTAATTTGTGTATTGACTTGCATTCCAGGGATAAATCTTATTGGGGCATGGTGTAAGATCCTTTTAACATGCTTTTAAATTTAGTTTGCTAAAGTTTTGTTGGGAATTTTGTACCTACATTCATCAAGGATATTGGTCTAGGTCTTGGCAACAGTTTTTCACATATGACACCAAAAGCACAAACAATAAAGGTGCAAATAAATATGTGGGACTACATTAAACTAAAATGGTTCTGCACAGCAAAAGAAACAATCAACAAATTAAAAAAAAAAAAAACAAGGAATAGGAGAAAATATCTAATAAAGAGTTAATATCTAAAATAGAAAAAGAATTCATACATATCAATAATAAAAAAAAAACAGTAGGATTTAAAAATGGGCAGGGGAACTGAATAGATGTTTTTCCAAAGAAAACATGCAAATGACCAACAAGTACATGAAAACATCGCTCATCATCATAGAAATGCAAATCAAAACCACAGTGAGATAACACCTCATAAGTTAGAATGGCTAGCATTTAAAAGACAAGAGATGACGATTGCTGGCAAGGACTTGGAGAAAAAGAAATCCTTATTCAGTGTTCGTGCAAATGTAAACTAGATCAGCAATTCTGTTTTATAAAAACAGTATGGAGTTTCTTCAGAAAACTAAAAAATAGAAATACCGTATATTCCAGC